TAAGCATGACAATGACTGCAGGTTATCTCACAAAAACACCATTCTTCCCTTCTTCCTCTGTATTAGAAAGCCCAACCCCAATTTTTAGGAGTACACATTGCTAACTAGTTTATATGACTGCATTTCCTAGCTTCCCTTGCAGCCAGCAGCAGCCATGTGACTCAGTTCTTCAATGAGATATAATTAGAAGTATTAAATAGGACTTTTGAGAAGACTTCTTAAAAAGAAGGGGTCAAGAACTTTTCCTTCTCTTTTCCCTTCCCAAATTATGAATGTTAATAGATTTTCTTAAGCTTTAGCACTCCTCGTGGACCATGAATAATGGAAGCCAAATGCCATGGATGATAGAGAAGAAAAGTCTCGAAAGACTTCCTGAAGCTGCCATACTGGCCCAGGTATGCCTCTCTCCTGATTTTGTATGTGAAAAAATAAAACCTGTGTGTTAGCTGAGTAAAATAAAATCAGCTGTTAAACTTTGCAGTTGGTCATTCCATCTTGCCTATGTGAAGATTGCCACTGAGTCATAAATGACTCTTACTCATGTCGTGTGGCAGTTGGCATGGAATTGGTCCACAATTCCATACTCTTCTCCAAAGTGGTGACATATCAAAGATGGGGCAATGGGAGAAGACAACCCTTAGTACAGTTAGTACAGGCAATAAAAGAGTACACTAGCTATAGACAATTTTTTTAAAGACTAAAAGTCAAAGTGTTTTCTATCACTAAGCACCAGCAATTTTAAACAATGTTAGCAATAAAACATTCCTTCCCTCAAGTTGAATGATTAATCATCTGTGTGCTAAAAAAAAAAAAAAAATTCCTTCCTTAAAAAAAAGAAAAAAAAATCTTTGGTTGGTCAAAGTCCAAAACAATTGTTGTGGTTACTATTGACTTTTAATAATGTATATGAAGTTTGAAATTAGCATATTTTTATTTATCCTCTAATCGACATTTTATTCTACATGGAAGTTGACTCAGATAACTCTCAGCTATTCGTTGGCCCCTGACACACACAGTGTTAACTACAAGTGTTCATTCAGCTAATCTCAGTTTGTAAAGGTTCAAAATCATTCAAGATAGCTTTGGGTCAGTTTTGTGTCTGTAATCCCTCTGGTAATATATGTTCCAGCATTTATACAGTAGGTTGAAAGTAAACAATAATAGTGCAGTGATTATAAAAAGAAACAGAATATGGGTCACTTCAATTCTGTCATTTTGTGTGACCAATTGTAGTTTTATGTGTGTTTAAAATCTAAAACAGTGAAACAATGAAAATTTAAAGGTGTAATACTTCTGTTTAGTGAGTGCACATTGTAGTTTATATATGAGATAAATTTTGAATATCTTTATGATTAAAATGTATTGTTTTCCTTGGTAATTGAAAATTAAAGAACAGATCAATAAAATAATAAATAGTACTGATAATTACTGAAATTTTTTCATATAGAAGAGTATTAAAAATGATCCATTCCAGATATTACAGATAAACAGCAGGTATACCACAACCCTGAAGTGCTAATAATACAGTTAATCTTCTTCTCCAGAATCCCAGAAAGCAGGGTACTAATTTACTGGTAATCCACCTAGAATCAAGTCTCAATTAGCTACCATGGTCAGAAGTCCAAAAGCATACCACTCAATCATTGACTTGGATATGAAATGCCCTCTCCATATATATACCCACTCTATGTTCTTTTTAGATCCACTCTTAGCATTCTGAGGGTACAAGGAGTTGATAAGAAAGGAGAAAGACACGTATTATCTATAGGTAATGATGTCAGTCATTTCACATAGATCATCTCCACCTTCTCACCCTGATCCAAGCAACCATCACTTCTAACTTAGGCTTCCTCACAGTTCTCATCCTTGTCCCACTACAGTTTATTCTTTTGTTAAAATATAAGTCAGATCATGTCTCTCATCTACAAAAATTCTTTCAATGGCTCCCCATCTCACTCAGAATAATGGCATATAAAAGTGGCTTTCTGTTTTCTCTCTGACTTCATCTATCCTTGCACGTACTAATTCTTTATCCCAAGGACATTGGCCTCCTTGCTGTTCTTTAAACAAACCAGTTGTGTTCTTTCTGGATGTTCCTTATGCCTAAAATCCTCTTATCCTAAACATATACACAGAGCTTGTTCCTGTACTTCCTTCACATCTTTGCTCAAATGTCCCTTAACTAGTGAGGCTTTGATGGATCTTATAACCATCCAACTTCCTATGTCTCTCTATTCTCTTAACAGGTTTTATTTATTTTTTCCTAGTGATTAGCACCTTCTGATATGGTGTATATTCATTTCTGTTATGGTTTAATGAACCTCCCAACCCCTAGAATGTAAGCATGAAAGTGAGGAATTTGTTTTTTTCTTTTTTTTTTCATTGTGATCTCCCCTGCACTTAGATCAATGCCAATTCATAGTAGATCCTCTACATTTTGTTGAATAAATTAATGACCCAATACTACCTATAAAAAAAGGCACTGTATCACCATTTTATGTAAGAGAATACTGAGGATAAAGTAGGTTTGACAATTGGTAATAGCTTCAAGACTGAGAAATGTAAAAGCCAGGCACTTAACCTCAGATTTGTTACTCTGAGAATAGTGTTGTTTCCACTTTAGGCATACTGGCTAACCCAGCACAAACTGGCATTGCAGGCAGAAGCCATGAATAAATAATTTACCATCCAATGTGAACTCACATCCTCTTATCTATGAGACAGATTTTATTCTGTAAAATCTCAAACAATACTTTATGTTCAAGGACCATGATTTGCATATAATGCTTGAAATAAGTTATTACAGTCAAATGTTCTAAAAAGAAATTTCACTGTTATAAAATGTTCAGTTTGTACTTCAGGCACCTTGCAAATGAAAGAACAAGGAGCAAAGATCTTTCAACTAGCCACATTATAAAATGGTGGCTAGATACCCAATCCCTATTTGTTTGTAATGCGCCACTAATTAATTAAATTTTATGCAACATATACTTCTAGGAAGCTGAAAATCTAAGGCCTGAAAGAAATTTTGGTGATTATTAACATCCGCATTTAATAGGTAAGAAATCTGAGGTCCAAAGGATTTCTATTAGTGGCAAGGCCAAAATTTAGAGGTTCCCTGCCTCCCAAGCAAGAATAAAGTTTACTACTCCCATCTCTTGAATTCTGATAAATAGCTAAATAAACGCTGTCATCATATAATATTCACTGCCTTAGTCCTCTAAGAATATTGAGATTTTTCCCCCATCAATCAATCCTTTATTACGTAGTCTCCACAAGATGTCTGCCACCCTTTTCTCTCTCATACACAGTTGGCAAAACTTCAAATTTCTCCATTAATTTAACCTGTTGTCAGTGGTGGCTCTGGGCCCCTATACTTCAATATATTTGGAAGAGGAAGGAAGTCTCACCCTGACCCAGTTGCCAGAAATGCCAGGACTGGCATGGGTTTTTTTCAGGTAAATTTCATGGCACTAGATCATCCCAAAGAAAGTCCTTTCCCAAGATCATGACTCTGTTCCTTTCTGCCTCTCTCAGCATCATCTGAACAGATGATTGATGGAGCAGTGGGGGAGGTCTGTGACAGGAGACTCAAGTGCTAGACTCAGCTTTGCCTCCAAGGAGTTTGTAGCCCTGGGCAAGTCTGTCCCACTCTCTGGATCCCAGGTTTACTGGTTGGACAGCAAGGACTCTACGGTGTTTACCTGCTCTAATCTTTTCTGGTTCCACAAACATTTGATGTAGCTTTAATGAAACCTCAGGGAAGTAGGGGAGGTCGGGAAGAAGAGTCTCCTGAAGCGCCGGCACATAGGCATATAAACTGGATGCCATTAAGAACCACTGAAACAGAGATTGAATGAAACTCTGAGGAAGAGAAGAGGTCAGCTTCTCTGAATATAGTCCTAGCCCACATCAGATTCCTTCCTCCCTTTTACAATGAAGGCAAAAAAGGAGTTAAATATCAATTTTTTGCCCAGCCACTTCAGGCTACTTTTTTTCATCTGCGGGTTATGGGTGGCAGTGCAGAAGTGTGGGCTGTATTGCCATCAGTGTCTGCTGACCCAACCTAACTGCCTTCTAAGACCATTTTGCCCATGCCTTCCAGCTGAGGACAAAGTCATGGTGTCCTCCCGCTCCCCTGAGTCCCTAACCAGGCTTAAACTGCCCCTAGCTAAGTCAGAGAGGCATCAAAATGCAGCCACCACTTCCTCTGCAAAAGGAAGTCATTCCAAGGTCTCCAGGTGGAGAAGCGAACACCATGGCATAAAATGAACTGTTGGAGGATTATACTAAACACACAAACAAGCACACACTCCTTGGGAGAGAGAAAAGAGCTCTGTTAACTGACTGTGGCCCAAATCCATTTCCAGAACGTGGGTTTCTGCAGCTGTCTCTCCTTGACAAAGCCCCAAGTGTGGACAGGGTGACCCCAGCCCAGGCAAGGAAGGACTTCAGGTATCCCCCAGGCAGCTTTCTGAGAGTAGAGAATGGCTCTCTGTCCCTCATGCCCTGGCGTTGATCAGGGGAAGGAGTTGCAGGAAACCTAGTTGGGGGCGGGGGAGTCATGCAGCTCTCTTATAAGACCCCCTCCACATTCCCAGGCTTTGTGACCGTCCCCTTCCCCCCACAACCCTGTGGCAGCTAGTCAGCCTCCTGCGAGCTTCACTGCTTCCAGAAAAGCACTCTGCCATCCCCCTTTCCTCTCTGGCCTCCCAGATGACCCCTGGGATGTTCCTGGGCACATCATCTGGCCCCATCCCTATTCCACCTTAATCTCGGATAGAAAAGTGGAGGGGAATGGGAGGGGGGTTCCTGGGCAGGCAGGCAAGCAGGGACTCCTAAAATGGCCACAGCAGCTCACTGGTGTCTCAAGGACGGCGGCTAGGGCGGTGGGCAGAGGCCAGGGGGCTCACTGCGTTGCGGCTCCTCGGAGGAACGGGAGGTGGGGCTGGGGGAACTGAGAGGCTCAAGCAAGGGAAGCCGAGGCTGCAAGCACTCACCATTCCCGATCCGCCCCTTATCCACTGCATGGTGCTCGCGAAGTCCGGCTTCTCTGAGGCCCCGTAGCTGGTGAGAGTTGTCGCGGGCTGACTAGGAGGGCTGGGTTGAAGCAAGCGAGAGCCCCAGCGCCCCCTCCGCCTCCCCTCCTCCACAGCCCTACAGCCCAATCCCCTCCGCCCCGGACCTCGCCTTCAGTCAGGTTGTTCCATGCCAAACGGCAGGCTCTGTCTATCCGCCCTGCTGCTCCTAGAGGTCTTGGCAGGGAGAGGTGCGAATGTGGGGGGGGGGGTGTCCCAAAGGGCTGCCTTTGTCCCCCACGAAGGCTTGAGAACTGTGGGGGTGGGGTGCTGGGAGAGGATGGGGGCGAATAGCCTCCGCCCGCCCAGGAGAAAGCAGCTGCTACCTCTGCCTGCCTCCCGCTGTGCTGGAGTTAGATGCTGTTTATTGTGGGGCTTCCCAATTGTGTCGAGTCAGCGGAAAGTCGTCTCCAAAGTTACCAGAGGTGTTTGACCAATCCCAGAATAATAAGATTCTGCCCCAGTGGAGCTATGCCAGCACTCTCCTGCCTCCCTCCTCCACCCTCCCTCTGCATCCTCCCCTAGGGTCTTCTCTCTTTGTGTACTCTCTCAGAGCTTTCATCTGCATTACTTTCACTTCTCAGAACAACTCTGTAGAGGAAGGCATTAGTATCTCCATTTTACAGATAAATAAATGAAGGTTTGGAAGAGGCAAGGGGCATAAGTTCAAAAAAAAAGAAAAGAAAAAGGCTCTGCAGTTTTCCAAGCCTCTCTCAGCTATCTCCCCCTCTCATATACACACCACTTCAGGCTTCTTCACACCTTTAGGAACACGAAAGGTAGCTTGTTGATGGACGAATTTTCCATTTGCTTATTTTGCTGAGAATGAGTTTAATGTACATCAGCAAAACAGGTAAACGGAGAAACCGCACACCTCTTTATGATTCCCCCAACTCTGGGGAACACAACACAGGCTGGTACCTTTACTTAGGCTAAAAATTGACTTTGTCGGTCACACTGACATCTATTATTATCCCTTATAATTCTTACAGTAACTCTATGAGGTGGACACAACAGGGATTCTTAATTGCCCCTCCCCCCCATTACAGACTTGAACACTGAAGCCCAGAGATTCAAAGACATCTGCTCAAAGTAGCACGGGCAAACAAGGCAAGATTCCAAGGGTCCTAACTAGAAGAGCAGGTCAGGCAAAGACGGATTTGCAAAAACAGACGTTGCAACCAAAATAAAAGGAGTTAAAGTATGATATTAGAAAGAAGTTCCTGGAGGTAATTGGCATGAAGACATCACTGCCCTGTTACACATACAACTTTATTTGTCCTTTTTAGCACCTTCTGCGCATCATCCAAGCCATTTTTTTGTCCAGACAGAGCTGGCCAAAGATAGAAGCAGTACCTTAATGAGCACCCCATCATGGGAGGTGTACAAGCAGAAGCTCAATTACCCTTTGGCAAGAGATTCCTGAATCAAATGGGAGGTTTCCTGGGATGACCTTACAACATCCTCTCAAGTCTAATAATCCAGGCATCAGTGACTCCACAATATTCTCTCACTTTCCCATGTCTGGGCCTTCTCTCATGCTGAGTATGAGAGTTGGATGCTCCTCCCCTGCCAACCAGCCCATTCAAACTGTCATGAGTGTTTAAGATCTGGCACCAGGCACACCACCTTTAGAAAGCTTTCCAGGAATACCTCCAGGCCCTGATTTTATCATCTTTCATTTGATTCCTATAGCACTATGATTTTGCTCTCTCAATTAAAAACAATATTTTTATTTCCTGGTTGTTACAGGCTGAATTGCGCCCCCCCCAAAAAAAAATTCATATGTTGAAGTCCTTCCCAGTACCTCAGAATCTGACGACTCAGGAAGAAGACAGCCATCTACAAAGCAAGCCAACAAGAGCGGCCTCAGAAGAAACCAAAAACGCTCATACTTTGTTCTCAGACTTCTGGCCTCCAGGACTATAAGAAAATAAACTTATGTTGTTTAAGCCACCCAGTCTGTGGTACTTTGTTATGGCAGCCCTAGTGAAATAATGCAGTGGTCGTATGAACATTTTACTGTTCCCTTTCACTTAGATGGAATTATGTTTTTTTGAAGCAGTGAAAATGAATTACTCATTTTGGTATCTTCTACAAAAGTGACTGGCACATAGTAAATACCCAATAAAAACTTTAAATTTTTTGGTGGATGCATTCATTCAACATTATTATTTAGTCCCTATGTGTCAGGCATTGTGATAGATGCTCAGGATACAAGACAAAGTTCCTCATAGACTTTACAATCTACTTGGAGAAGAGAGATAGACAATAAATAAGTAAACAAGCAAGATATTTATAGATTGTGATATGTGCTCTGAAGGATATTAAACGAATTTATGTGATGTGAGTAGCCCTGGAATTGTAGAAAGTATCTAAATCGACCAAGGTCCTATCAGGAAAATAAAAACCACCCTAGGTCTTTTAAACTGAGAGCACTTAATATATCACACCTGCAGAGATAAGAGCCCAAACAGAGGATGGTGCAGCAACCTAGCATTTAACGAACACGGAAAGCTGCTACCACTTGTAGGGATGGATGGATAACAGGTGAGGCCATACAGAAACCAAAATCACCGGTTGGACAGCCTATGAGAAGCAGGTGCCATAAATGGAGGAGTTGTTCAAGAGGACCTGGATCCATGGAGGTATACAGATACCACCAGAAAACACCTCTTTGATACAGGAGGTGGGAGAAATACCCTAGGTTCTCCCTTCCTCCTAGCCACAAATCTCCTGTATGTGTCTCCCATTGGATAAAAGAAGTGAGAAAGCAAGGAAATCTAAGAAATGTAATTTTCAGAAGAGTGGAGAATGGATCTGAACACAAACAGGCCAGTGTTAATAGAGAGACTAGGGATTCCTGCAAAAAATAGGTGCCTAGAAACTCCTGCAAAAAACAGGTGTTGATTCCAGAGGTATAATTACATGTTGTTGAATCCAGTCATTATGTTTTGAGCACCTATTTGCCTAGAACCATATGAGTAGTTAGAGGAGATATAATGTAGTTGGTAGGGCGTAATCCCTTATGTCAGAACAACTTGGATTGGATTCAGTTATTGGCTTTGCCACTTACTTGGGCAGATTATTCAATGTTCTGTGCCTTGACAGCTTCTTTATCTGTGAATAGGGCTAACAAGGTTGTTACAAAGATTAGATAGATCTGTCCAAGGAAAGTACTTAGCACAGGACCTGGAAGCCAGTAAGCACTCAGGATAGGACAATAGAAATCTGGAAAAGGGGTTTCCACAATCTCTGTGTTCACTCTCTTGAAGTCCTGTTATCTCCCAGAAGCCTATGTGGTACCTAGCCAGGCACCAGCTCTCCATTCTGGTGGAGAGTCATGAGCAAAATGAAGAGAAAGACAGTCATGTCTCAGCATATCTGTGACTCAGGTTCTTCAGTCATAGAGCCATGAGCAAATGAAGAGAAAGACAGTCATGTCCCAGTGTATCTGTGACTCAGGTTCTTCAGTCATACAATGAACACACTAATTGTGTACCTAAGTGTGTTAAAGAATCACTGATCCATACATATCAGAGTTGGCCTTAATAATTGTAAAGATTATTTCCTCCAACGGTCTCATTTTACTGCTGAGAAGATATAGCCCAGGGAATGGAAGGAACTCCCAAAGTCACTAAGTAAGTGAGTGGCTAAGCTGGGATAAAAACTCAAACCCTTGATTCTCCATACTGCGTGGAGTACAGTAGTGAAAACGGGTAAACATGGAAAGCACACAACTACTCTAATTTTAAATATTGGAGGGCTAAGACTAACATGTATATTATAAACTCTTATCGTTACAAAGCAATATTTGGTTCATACGTTACTATCTATATTTACTCATTCATAAACTCAATAAACGTGTGCCTGCAATGTGTCAGGTACAGTGTGTTAAGCACTGACGTCATAGCAGTAAACAAGATGGACAGAGTTCATGCCCTCATTTCTATTCAATAAACAAGTAAATCTGGTAAGTAAATGTGCTAATACAGATAGATATAAGTGCTATAAAAGAAAGAAAGTGAAGGGATAGAGTAACGGTGGGGTAGAAAAGGGAGTTTAGATAAGGAAGTCTTCTCCAGGGAAAAGGCATTTAAATTGAGGAATAAAGGCTTAAGGCGAGCCAGCCATGTAAGAGGTAGGGGGAAAGTATTCTAGGCATAGAACACAGAAAGTACAGAAGTCCAAAGTATTGAACTGGCAAGTAGTATCACAGGAATTAGAAGCGCAATGAGGCTGAAACCTAGAGAGAAAGAGGAAGAGTGATAGGAGGCAAATTTGGCAGAAGCCAGTTCATATAAAGACTTGAAGATCATAGTAAGATAACCTGGATTTATTCTATGAACTATAGGGAGATAGAGGTGGGAACTGAGGGATTTTTAAGCAGGAGAATTAATTGAACCAATTTACATTATTTAAAGACAACTCAGCCTGCTATGTGTAGATTGAAAAGGGACAAAAGGTAGGTACTGTTTTAGTCATACAGTGTAAAGATGATGGTGAGTTGGACTGGAAGAACAGAAAAGATGATGGACAGAGGTAAAAAAATTGAGATATATTTTAGAGGTAGAAATAACAGAACTTGATGATGGATTGGATGTGGAGTGTAAGGGGAAAAAATAAATTCCAGATAACTTTAGGTTTTTGTTTTGCAATGCTGGGTAGATGGTGGCATTTTGGCTAATGTGGGGAGACTGGCATAAGCTCAGGTTTGAAGAGGGAAAAAAAATCAAGACTTCCACTTGGATGTATTGAGAGTGAGTTGCCCAGTAGTCATATTATTAGAGGGGATGTCAGGAAACAATTAGATATGAAAGCCTGGCGCTCAAGAGAGATGCTCTGGCTGGACATATACATTTTGGAGTCTTCCTCATACTGATGGTATTTAAAGTCCCACGACAAGATGTAATCATCTAGGAGAGAACATAGATTATAAAAAGGGCCCTGGATGAGTCCTGAGGCTCTTAACAATTAGATAAAAGTTACATAGAGAAGGAGAAAATTATCTATGGACACTGAGAAGCAGTAAGGTAAAAATAAAATGAGGAGAAATCATATTCAGGTGAATGTTTCAAGACTAGGTGTGTGAAATGTTGAGAAGTTAAATGATATGCCCATTGTACCGGCAACAAGGTTGGTAATTTTGACAAGAGTAGCTTCACTGGCATGAGAATAAGAAAGATCGTATTGGAGGGGTAGAGGAATGAATGAAGGGAATGAAGAGTGAGTAAAGGTAAAGAAGTAGAGACAATGAGTATAGACAACTCATTGAGAAGTTCTTCTGTGAAGGAAGTAAGACAAGATAATATTTGGGAGGGGATATGAGGTTAAGGAAATCTTTTTTTGTTTGTTTTAACATGCAAATGAGGGCACATCGGTAACAATGATGAGAATGAGAGTAAAGGCTTATTGCATAAGACTTTGCTAGTTGAGGCATGGTCGACAAACCAACAATATCATCATCACCTGGGTGCTTGTTAGAAATGCAGAAGCTCAGGCCCTATCCCACATCTACTTACTCATAATCTGCATTTCAACTAGATCCTCCAATGTTCTGCATGTACATTAAAGTTCGAGAAGCAATAGTGTGAGAGAGGGGATACCTGCAGGAGCAAAGTCCTTCAGAAAGTGAGAGGGGATGGGTTCCAAAGCAAAAAAGATTTGCCTTGATAGGAGCAGAGTCGCTTCCTGAACTCTAGCAGAAAAGAAGAGAAATGGGTACATGTGCAGGTGATGGTGAGCCTATAGATTTGGTGAATAAAAGGGAAGGAAATGCCCCTGTAATGTTTTAAAAAATGTTCTCCAGGAAGGTGAGAGAGGATTATGGAGGGAGTTGTCAGTGGAGGTTACAGAAAGGAGGAGCAAAT